TATATAAGAGTGGAGGGCCCTGCTGGGCACAGGTGGAAGATGAGATCCTTGACCTCATGAAGGCTGGACGCCCCAGGGGGTGGGAGTTTTGAGGGTGGGGAGGTGGGAGTGGGGGGGTAGATAGAGGTTACATCCACAAAGAAGAAGGAGGAGGTGTGAGGGGATTGGGTGTTCCTGGGTGGGTGGGGGATGGGGTAAGGGGACAACATATGAAATGTAAATAAAACATCCAATAAAAAAATTAAAAAAAAAAAAAAACGAAAGCAACCAAAATAAAAGTAAAAAAATAAAAATAAAAAATGATAGTAATAAAATAATAATAATAATAATAATAATAATAAAAGAAAGCAACCAAAGGGCCTCACTGAGTGAACCAGAGTGATGGCAAAACTGTGTCCTGGCATGGGACAAAGCTATCCTGGCATTACTGTCTCCTAAGTCTGCTGTGTGATGGCTCACCCACCTTGGAGGCCTTGGCTATGCTGTTGCTGATCTCAAATGATGCCGATCTCTTTTGCAGGCTCACCATCAATGCAGAATGTCAGCTGCAACTGCATAACTTCCCCATGGATGCACATGCCTGCCCCTTGACCTTCTCTAGCTGTGAGTACACAGGGGATCTGCACCTGGATGGGTGCTTTGGGGCTGGATCTGGCTGGACTGGGTCTGCTTTCCAGGGTACACCCTTATTCTTGGTGGCACTGTTATTAAACAACTAGAGAAAACCAGTAACAGATGCATCTTTGGCTATCAGAATGGTTTCACTCTAGACTTCATTACACAGAACATTGCAAAATAACATTTTGTTTTGTTTTCCATTTTGTCTATATGTGGGATTTTTGTAACTTTGATTAAGGAGAGAGTGACACTGTTATTGATGACTACACTGGCAGATTTCAGAGGTTAATGGTAAGTTCATTCCACAAGGAGACCAATTATGCCTATGTTTTAGAATTGTTTGTCACATTTTTAAAAATTTCATATTGAAAGATTTGTTTTTTAATGAAGAAGGTCAGATCTTCACTATGAATGCACTTGTATTTCTTCTGGAACAGATGGTGATTGGTTTAGATGATTCTTTACACTAAGTACATGAGTACATGCACAAGGAAATATCAAATATCAGGTGCATTTGCTAACTTTATGAAGCTTTTGAGTAAAGGTCCATATGGAAATGCACCTATTGAATTTTATGGTGGTTTATTTTAAATGTAGTAATTGCAAGTACTTTTATATGTATACATGACTTACAAACATTTAAAAAACTTTATTGACTTTCTTTTAAACCGAATATAAGACACTAGCAAGTCTGTGAGTGTCTCAGGCAGACAGACTGTGGAATCGGGACAAACATACTTTAGAATTGGTTTTAAGTTCAGAGAAATCCAAGATGCAGCATGGAATTTCACTGACCTCCTAGACTTGGTTAAAAAAAATAATAATTTCATGTAAAGATCAGTTAATAACTAGCTGAACCTAAACTTACTGTGTTTGTTGATGGCACAAGTGGCTGACACCCAGTACTTGAATGTGCATGTCTCTTAAACAGAGATCCCTTTGGGAACTTGTTCTCTGTGTTTAAAAGTCAGAGAATAGCCAACTTTCCTGCAGTCTTGTGAGTTTCCTGGGCATCTGTAGTCATATAGCAAAATTCTGAATGATTTGTAGAGGCCATATTTATCACTGGCCAGCTGCTTCTGCTGTTCTTTCCAATATGTTGACATGTTCTAAATGCATCTGTTGAGTGTGTAAGTTAAGTCGATAATTTATACCAGGCTTTCCATTTGCTCCTTTTTCTAACTAATCTCCTACTCAATTTTGTATTTCTTTATCAAGTTTTTAATGGATTCTATCTTGAAAATTTTTCAAAAATATTCATCTTTGTTAGACACATTTAATTAGTTGCTGAGTCATTTTCTAATTTGAATTAATGTTTCCTAGGAACTCTTCTAAGAATTTTTTCATGACTTTTATTGAAAAGTCATGCTTTTGCTTTCTAAGCAAGCATTCAACTGAACTACACTTACACCCGTCTTCACATCTTTGCAAATGATTCTCATCCCTTGGTCAATGGCAAATATTGATCTGGCTTGTATCACTACACTTTAGGTGACTGGTCCAGAATTTCCTAGCTAAGAGTCTGCTCTCTTTTACTCAACAGGATGTCGTTGTGAGTCATACATGTTAGCACATTAGTTAGTAGTTCATTTTTCTATCACTTTAAAGTTTAAGCCTGTAAAGCTGGGTTACACATATGGTGTGAACTTAATTCTATACAGTTTTGAGATTTTAGGCTCCAGAGTATACATTCCTAAGTTAGAAAAGCACTTTTACTCTTACATTCCTTCTCAGGCAAGGATGGATAGCAGTCTCCTTTTAGAGAGTCCTTCAAGAGGCCTCCAGTTTAGGGTTTTTGACTCTGGAATCCTATTTTCTGCTAGGGCCTGGCCTTGTTCCTGGTCTTGTTCCTTGCCTGGGTGGAATCCTCAGGCTCCCTGTGGAAGCCAGCACAGATGGCAGTGCCCGAGTGTTCTCGCTTGGGCATCCCATTAACATTCCGGCTTCTTCCTCTGTCAGTTTCCCTTACACCCTCTTGCTTTCAAAACCTGCTTAGCTATTTTGCAAAATCATTTAAGGCTTCCATTCCAAAACAGGGTTATCTATTCATGACATTTGCTCTATTTCCAGAGATAAAAACAGCTTATAAAAGTAAAATAATTTTAGCCTGTAAAAAGAATCTATCTATCTATCTATCTATCTATCTATCTATCTATCTATCTATCTATCTATCTATCTCCCTTTGGACACTAGTTGATAATTAGAATAAAGTACCAGGAATCAGTCTCTTATAATTTGTGAGACAAGACACAATTCTATTTCTGGTATAGAACTATTGTGGAAGATGATTACAGTGAATGCAAAGAATGAGTAAGCAACATATAGAGTGATATATATGTGTGTGTGTGTGTGTATGTGTGTGTGCATATATATATATATATATATATATATATATATATATATATATATATATCCCAGTATAGATATTAAATGTTAATTATATTAATATCATATATTAATATAGATATGAAATGTTTAAAACATTTTTAAAACAATGTGCAAATATTCTGGTTGCATGTTTACCTGTGAATCAGCAGAGGACCTGTTACCCAGAGCTGGAGTTAGAGGTGGTTGTGGGCCACATCTTGCAGGTCCTGAGCATTGAACCTGAGTCTTCTGCAAGAACAGCATTCACTCTTAACCACTGAGATGTCACTAGAGCCCCTATACTCTCTTTGTATAAAAATAATTAAGTTAAACAAAATATGCAGAAATTACTATTTTAATTCTTTCCTTACAATTATTTTGAAAATTGTTTATTTCCTTATTGGTTTTCTGTTGGTTAAATATCAGCATTGTGAGAAACTTCTTCTTCCTTGCTTGATTGATTGATCAGAATACATGACCATTATTTATTTTGTGGCTTTTGAAATGCTGGTGGAGCTGATGTGTCACAACTACAATGTGTGGGTGCTCTTCAATTGATAGTTGAAAATATGTCCAGATGTATACATTATTAGCGTACAGACACTTAACTCACAGATATGTTGGTTGCCACTAATATACTGAGCAGCATAACTTAGAAATAAAGCAATCCAGTGGATATTGCTTTCTCAGTATCTAAAGGTACAAAAAAAATTAAGTGTAATCATCATAAGAAATATTGGACTTGTGTGTGTGTGTGTGTGTGTGTGTGTGTGTGTTATGAGTATAGAGAAAAGCAACAAGTGTGTAGAGTCAGTTCTATCCTTTCTTTACATGAATTCCTTTATTCACTGATTAATCACACCAATCCTCTATGTATTTCCATTGCAATTTAAGAATAAAACAAATGTTATAAGAAGTCACTTGACCAAGGGTGATATACAAAGGGAAAATAAGCACATAAAGAACTTACAAATCATTGATGGTTAGTAAATATAAGCTAAGATCAGGAAGAGCTATGACTTCAAACGATTAGAATGGCTGAAATACAGAGCAGTGGTAAGAAGATAGGAGACACTGAACATTCTGTTGATAAGGATATATTATGGCAAATTATAAAGAGCAACTTAGAAGTTTCTTTCAAAACCAGAACTACATTAGAAGAACTAGATAGTGCATAGACATTGACCCCTGACAAAGTGTATAATCATGTAATCATAAAAGCCTACATTTAGATATTCATAAAGACGTATCTATGGAAATTCATGAAGACCTACCTAGGGATATTCAGAACACTATTTCTTTTCTTGTCTGGAGACAGACCCTCTGTATACCCCAAGAATGTCTTAAATTCCAGTCTTTCTAAGCTTCTCAGTGCTGGCACTACAGGCATACACCATCTTGTCCAGCTGTAACTGATCCCTCATGCCTGTCAGTACATGAGGGAAACACCATATGCCTGTCAAAGCATGAATTGGTGAGAAAGTTGTTCTGAGGCCCTTAAGCTGAACACTCAGGAGTTTTACTACCACAGAATTTAAGCTGAATGCAAATCCTCAAAGCTCGCTCATGTGCAGTCCTAAGTTTGCTTGACGTGACTGGGAAGTGAAGAAAACTGAACACCAAAAGGACCAAAGTATTCTTTGTTGAAGAACAAATTTATATGGCCTCATGCATGAGATTTCAAACATAATCATCGGCTAAAATAACCAAGACAGTGCACTGATAATGCTTGAAAAATACATGTACAAATAACAGAATGGAGGAGAGAATCCTGAAATTTAGAAAGTACATTGATGTTTAATTATTATTTGAAAACAGCACCACTATAATTCAGTGGGGAAAGATGGCCTTTTCCACCCATACTATTGAGATGCTGGCATTTGTATGTGCCACAGAGTGAAGCTGCACTCCAAAACCAAGCTAAGCACCCTTTGGGAGATAATAAGTGTGGGTTAGCTGTGACTGTGAGTTAGCTGATGGTGGCTTAGCAAGGAGCCAGAAGGACAAATAACAAAGGAGAAAAATAGACAAAGCGAGTGCTGCTGTGTTGAAAACTGTCACACTTCAAAGGACACGATCAAGATAGTGAAAGGTCAGCCTCCAGAAAAAAAGAGATGGCTGTATGTCATCCATCTGAAATCTCATTCAATAGGGCAGCTGCATGCCTGGGGGAAATGGCATCTGGTTAGTCATCCCAGGTACACTGCTCTGCTGTTACGAGAAATTTTTCTAAAGGAAGGAAATACATTAACATGTTGTTGGCTGGAAATAAATTTTCCCCTCTATAGCAGTTAATCTCACATTTATCGAAGTTGTCTGACTATTACGTATATTGTGTTTTCCTCCTAAGTGTACTTCAAGAAGGAGAGACACATGTGGGAAAATAGCAAATGTCAGTTGGCATTCAATATTAGCTTCCAGGAGACATCAGGGAGTGGTAGGGACTGTGACCAACTAAATATTACAACTATGAGGCAGTTGCTCTTCAATGTTAACCAATTCCAGCTACAACAGAATATTATTGTGAGATTGCATCCACTAGGAATGCTAGGAACTACACCTACTAACGTCCTCAATATGAGCTGAACAAAGATGATGAAATAGACATGCTAATGTGC